ATATATTTTAAAAAAAAACCAACAGGACAAAATAACCTTCAGACTGGGCCTAAAGCAACATTGTGCCCCAAGGAACTGTTTTGCAAAGATAACAAGAAAGCAGATATATGACTACTGAACAAATGACTACAGGACTGAAAATTTAAAACATAGTTTGGAATTAGTATCACTATGTCAGCTCATCTGCACCAATAGAAATGCATTCCTTTTGTTGCTAGAATTGTTCACCTTCCCTTTCTCATAAATTTCCCTTGCCTTTGTCTCCTAATCAGAACACTGGTTGGGTTTCTGTCTGAATCAGTGCTTCCCAAATACCTATTCTGTTGGATCTCAAATAAATGCTTGTTGCCTCTCACTTTGGCCTTTATTTCCAGGTTAACAATGTTATAATTTAGATGTATAGTATATAGGCTTTCCTTTGTACTCTTGTCCTGGATTCCACATTGAGGCACGACTGTTTATAATTGTGTCTGTCTCTCAATTGCAAACTCAACAGCGAATGTGCAAGTCTGATTTATTTCCTTATTCCCAACATTGATGTAAGCCTAGTAAGTATCATGCAATAATAATTCTTAAGCAACTGCTGTGTGTTAAGCACTGTTCTAGGCATGGGGTGTTGGGTATAGAGGTGAGCAAGACAAACCAAAAAGTAACGTGGCTCACCTTCTATTGGGGGGAGATAGATAATATACAATTAACAAATAAATAAAGGCAATTGCTGATAACTGCAATACAGGGTGAGTTACAGAGAACAACAGGGTAGAGTTATGGAGAAGGGCTGTTTGTGATATAGGCTAGATAACCAGGGACCACTTGTCTGAAGAAGTGGCATTTGAGCCCAGACTTAAATAGTAGAAGCCAACCATGTAATGAGTCATTCCAGGAAGAAGGAAAGACAAGTGCAAAGGCCCTGAGGTGGCAATACAGGGAAGCACAAGGCTAGAACAAATGCATGATCGAGGGAGAGAATGTTATGAGACCTGAGAAGTGGGCAGAGCCTTTGGCCTGGGGTAGGGAGCTTGAATTTTTCTTCTAAGTTTGGTGGAGAGCCATTGGAGGAAAGTGAAGTGGCTGGGATGAGAGTGAAGTGGACAAAAGCAGAATGTTTTGAAGGCAGAGCCAACAGATCCAACAGCAATCCAATCCAGATGAATTGAAGGGGGAAGGGTGGCTGAGGGAAAGAGAGAAATTGAGGCCGACACCTAGGTTTGGGGCATGAGAATCGGAATGGGTGCGTTGCCATGCATAGGGAGGAGTAGAGTTGGAAGAAACCAAGAGTTCAGTTTGAAAGTGTTCAGTTTGACATGTCTATTAGACTGGAAACTGTTGGCTGTAAATCCCAAACCCTGGGGAAACGTCAAAGCTAGAGTTGTAAACTTGGGATACAGCAGCAGAGAGATGGTGTTTAAAGCATGAGATTGGGATTTGTGAGGGTCCCAGTGCTAGCAGGAAAGAGATTGTGCGCTCAAACTGAGTAATGGATGAGAAATTAATAGAGTCGGTTTACAGAGGTGCAGGGAGACAATCAAAGCATTGTTCACACCCTGGCTTAGAAGCCAGGAGCTCATACCACGCCTTGGCCTTGGAGAGAGGGGGAAAGAGGAGAGAGAGAGAGAGAGAGAGAGAGGGATTGAGAGAGAGATATCAAGCTGTGCAGAGCTGCTACCTACAGTGGAGAGACACAGCCAACGTTGTCCATCTGAGGGCACATGGGATTAACATGCTGACCTCACTCTCCTCTCCCCATTAGCCAACCCCAATGGCAGCCAGAGAGGAAAGAAGCCTGTGGATGTAGGTGAACAGAAGTCTGAAAAGGGGTGCTCTGGAGGTAGGAGGAAAACCAGGAGAGGTGGGATTCCTGGAGACCAAGGAGCTAGAGAGGAAGTCAGAGGGAGCAAGTGGCTGGGTCTGACAAGTGAATGTCATCAGAATCCTTGGATGGAGAAAGCTCAGTGGGATGGGGGACCAAGAGCAGAATTAGCATGGCAGGAGGAGGGCCAGAGGTGATACAACCGAGAGGCCACTATAGAGACAACTCTTCCCAGAAGCACAGCTTCATTTTTATTTTATTTTATTTCAGAAGCACAGCTTTAATCCTCATCACCTCTCAAGAAAACTGAGCCTTGGAGAAGGCGGGTACCTTGCTCAGGTTATGAGCGAGATGGAACCCAGCTGAGCCCAATTCCAATTAGGCCAATGGGGTCAGAGGGCAGAAGGAGGTCAGATGGTCAGAGGGAGGAGAGCAGTAGTTTGAGATTGCAACCCAGGTTGCAATGAGAGAGTGGAAAGAGAGGGGAATGACCAAGGAAGGCAGAGTTGGGGGAAGGAATGGTCAGAGTTGGACAGATTATTGGGAGTTTCTGAGGCTGGGTAGCCCTGCCACTTTCTCTAGGTAATTATAGCTTTCTTCCTGGTCACCCTAGAATGGTCAGGGCAGGAGGGCGGATTTGGAGAGAGCCTGGGGAAAAGAATAGACAATGTCCCTGGAAGTAGATCTCCCAGGGGGAGGGCCAGGATCTGGCCCTAGCTTCAGGGAGCTGCTACCTCCTGCAAGCCTGGATCCCTCTCTGGGCCTTCCCAGCTGCCTGAGCCCAAGATGACTGCCTTTCAAACGCAGTCACTCTGCTGAACCACGGGCGCGCCGGGCCTGTCCCTCCTTCCTCCCTCGGTCTGGGAATGCAGTTGGCCAAGGACGCTTTGAGGACTTTTCCGGGAGAAGGTGAAGGGAAGAAGCCTCTGAGCTTGGCGCGAGTGGCTACCGCTGGGAGCCTAGCTGAGCCCAGGAACTTGTCGTCCATGCTCCTGGCGCCCCCTCCAGCCTGAGCTGTGCGCCGCAGGGGTGGAACGTGATGGACAGCCCGGAGGCCAGGGGCGTCGCTGCTCTCTGGCACCGGCTGGGCGGGGGCTGGCAAGGCCCCAGAACGATGTCTTCCGGGGATACCCCTACCAGAGGGCCAGTGGCTCAGAGGCCCAGCTCGGCGTATGGCTGGGGCCACGCCTCCAGGGACATGGGGATGAAAAGGTGCCAGGGTGGCGCCCAGTGTGTGACACGGCACCCAAACTGCCCCCTTCCCCCAGGTAGTGGATGGAGTCTAGGGAAGTCCAGTGCCCTGAGCTGACCTGAAACGCGTCTTTGGACAAAACCCGGTGCCCCGCCGAGGCGCTCAGGCCCCGAGGG